ACCTTGCCTTCAACGAGACGATCTCCCACCCCAATGTGTAGTCGACTGTTTAAATTGCTCTTCATCGTCAAGAATCTGAACATCGTCTTTGGCAGCAGCAACCTGGAGAAGTGGCGGCATAACTCCGGGAAGATATGGAACAAAATCTTGATTGAGAACTCGGCACATGCGGCCCCAGCAATGGAGAAGATACGAAGATTGAGGATCGTCCGCATCCGTAATGTTTTGTTGGATATTTCCAAGAAGCTGTACCAAAGTCAAGGCATCCTGGCCCATCTTCTCTTTTCCAACCGCCAGCGCGATCAAGGTGGCACATTCCATAGCCTTCGCACGCAAAATTCGGAATTCCTTTGATTGTTCCTCATTCAGAACGTTTAGCAACAGTGGCATAAGCATATCATAGAACTGGCCAAATGCAGCCTCCGCAGAATCAGCGATCGTAGCGATCGTAGACAACGCCTGCTCCTGAACAAATCGCTTGGGGCTTCGCAATAGTTGCAGCAGACGTCTCAAAAGCTCCTCAAGATAAGGTTCAAGAATCTCCTTCTCAGCCTCCTCGCAGAAGTTAACTAGCGCAGCAGCGGCATGGGCTTGAACGCGGGGTTCCGTCGAATCCAGAACGGGGAGGATATTTCCAAGAACAATTGAATGGTACTTCTCCTGCATGGTTGGTGCGAAATCGGTGCTCATCTGGCCAAGGGCATTGCACCCAGCAAAACGGACTCGCGGGTGTGGATCTTGCAGAGCTGGTGTGACAAGAGCGAGAACCTGACCCAATTCGCCCTCCATAAGATCCCTGCAACCTTCAGATATCGCAGAAATCGCCATAAGCGCCGCATGCCGATCTCTCCAGGAGGTTGATGACATCATGCGAGGCACCCAGCTGAAAGTTGCTTGCACGATTACCTTGCCGCCAAGTTTATTGGCAAGGCGGTCCATGCATTGCTCGCCAGCAACGTGGTTCTTGTCGCTTTCCTCAAGATCAAGCTGTAAAAAAATTAGAGTCAGCAACATTGTTTACCAGCCACCACTGCCCCCCAAAAATTGTATCAGTGCTTACATCCTCTGACTGCGTCCAATCAGTCGCATCCTCATCATCCAAACCAACATCAGTCATCAAACTCAGACACTGAGTAACCATTCCTTCTGGATATGTCGGGTCATTCTGGCACATCTTTGGGGAATAATCGGCAAACGTAGCCATCAACTCCAGCGCATTCTGTCTCACTTGATCGGACAGTTCTTTATCACCAATAACGCTGATGCTAAACTTTACGAGGTTGTTGAAGAGACCCTTGAACATCTTTGGGCACACTTCCGCGAGCTCAATTAACGAAATGAAGGCCTTGGACAGTTCGTCACTCTCGTCTGCCTCTTTCAGGGGAGGCAATATATTGAGAACATCAGGGACTAGGGAGAAGAATTTGCTTTGGCTCTTCTTGGTGACGGATCGGAAGAATGACGAAAATGCTTCCATCGCGGATATCCTGACCTTATAGTTGTATTCCGGAATCATCAGTAAACGCAAGAAGCATCGTTTTGTCCCTTTGAATGTAAGGTTGCGTACAGAAATATTCTCATCCCTAAAACCTTTCGCGAACACACCCACCACCATTTCCTCATGTTGTTTCTCAATAATACCTGGTGTCGTCGAAAATATCCGGAACGCGGAATCACGCATACCAGGATCAGTAGACTGGCTAGCCTGAAAAAGCACTCCAAGAAGTTCAGACCATTGTTCCCCTAGAACATCCCCAATAGATAAATAAATTGGTTAGGAGCTAAGTTCTCGTAATTCGCAATCGATGCGGGACAAAAAAAACATACCGTTGTCGGCATATTGCCCCGCAATTTCAGCCACGGCATCACCAATCTTATTTCGTACGTGGGCCAAACTCTCACTTCCTAGCGACTCCAGCAGTTTTTCTCGAATAGCCACTCTCTGCTCCTTCGAAAGTGTGAAGAACAACTCCTTAGATTCGGAAGTATCGGGCACGTTCGTTGACCGTGTCGATATCCGACGGAACAGAACAGCGGCGAAGGATCGCGTCTAATCAGGAGACAATAACTAAGTAAATGTATACATACACACACATATATTCAACAAACCTCGCGAAAAGAAAAAGATAAGGTATAATTGAAAGGCAAGGAATATCCTTCTTAGTGCATACCCCGGCATCCTCAGCGCCTTGTAATTGTTCCGCCAGCCCTATGAGCAAAACATCAGGACGGCCCTTCACCCATTCATTGTTTAACTGTTCCTCGGCCTGTGCCCGCACTATATTGTCGGCAGATGCTAGTGCAAGCAGGAGCTGTGAGAGCGCAACGTGGACGTTCTGCGGCAACAACGACATTGTTGCTCTTTAACGTTGGATCGTTCGTACGGTTGTGGCCAATAGTTTTTTGTTTCCGTATTGGTATTGTCTAATTATCTTGTAGTGTGATGTCGTGCGTTCTTCGGTGCTATCACAGGGAATATCCGGAAATGTTGCTTTTTGAAGTGCAAGGCAAAGGGGGGAAAGAGAGAAGGTAGAGACGCGTGCGGTTTGAGATATAAAGGAAGAGGGATGATCAAGCAAAGGGAAATCAATTAAATTGAGTTTCCGGTATATCAGGCATATGCGATTCGTGCGTTAGAATCCCCGTTTATAATTACCAAGTTCGACGTTGAAGCGGCTGTTGTTGGTGGGGTTTTCCACTAACTGCACTCAACGAAGACCCGAATTTGTTGTTTGTTGCGAGTTGGGATTGGTCGCGACAAGGGAAGTGGCGAGTGAAGCACGGATGCAACAGCAGAGACACCGTACCAGGGAACGGGGGCAGAGCGAGTTACGAGGAGTAGAGGAGAAGAGAGAAGAGAGAGGGAATGTTGCAAGAGAAAAACGCGAAGGAGAAGGCAGAAGGTGGTTTATTTTTTTGGTGCAGGTGGGATGAGGTTGAGAGAAGGGCGCTAGGGCAGATGCGGTTAGTCAGCACGGGCAGGCGTCGCTAGTCCCGAACAAGCCAAGCCGGCAAGGAGAGTGGACCCGGATCTACTATCTTCCTATCTAGGAATGACATTGTCCTGAATTACAAACTATCGTCTATTGAGCTGTTGGGACTATCCTTCACTCAACAAAACAATACGAGGGGTAAAATGGAAAATACAC